CCGGCACCGCGGTGACTGTTGCGACGATCTGGAACCGCCGGTAGTCGAGTTCTTCGATGTCGCTGGCCAGTCCGCTAGACAGCGTGCGTACCGCCAGTATCGAGCCCGGACTGGCTGGGTCCATCTCCACACCGATGAGCGCGTCATAGCGCTGCGCTCCGAGGTAAACGGCGCGGTCGAGCGCGTCGAAGAGGCGGCGTGCAACGCTACCAAAGTCGCTGGATTCCATGAATCGTTGAGTGCGGCTGGCCGGTGGAGGAATGCAGGCCAACATCGTCACTCCGCGCTCTCGGAAGCCGTCGCCGTCGCCGCTTCACCGCTGCCGCTCGCCTGCATTTGCACAGGTTCGGCCACGGCCGGTCGGCCTGCACGCTCCGAGCGCGCATGCTTGCGAGCCAGGCTCACGTGGAAAGCCAGCTTGTTGGTGAACGCAATGCCGTTCATTCCACAACGCCCGTTGTGCTCCCAGTCTGCCCCTTCGAGCACCGGCGAGTAGGCTTGAAACCGGGTGCGACGTTTGGCCGCCATCTCCTCAGCCACCTTGATGGCCTGCGCGATGTCCTTGTCCTGGGTCACCACCAGCGCGCGGCACAGGCCGTCGTCCACGGCACTCAGGATCTCGCTGCCGATCCGCACGTCGATGCCCTTTTCCTGCGCCCGGACTTCCTGGGTAGTGCGGTCGGTGTAGTAGGACAGCGGCAGGGTGATTACGCGGCAACCGCGCCGCTCGAACCAGCGAAGCCGCTTCATCATGGATTCGTGTCGCTCCGGTTCTCGCGCCGGATCGTGCACGCCCGTGTAGATGCGGATCTCGCGAAGCGGAAGCTCGTGCAGCTGCGCGAACTCGCGGAGCATGTCGGGGATGTGCACCTGCGTGGCCGCCACCCGGCAGTTGTCCTTCAGGAAGTGATGCAGGTTCTGCAGGTCTACGAAGGCCACAGCATCATCCGGGCGGTAGCGCGCGGCGGGAGCGACCGCTGGCCCAGAACCCTGCCCAGAGAGCAACCCTCGTGAGAGGATATTGAGTGCCTGACGCTGGACCGCGGAAAGGAACGCGAGGTTGAACATGCAATGCCGGAAATGAACGCGTATGGAATAAATGATACGCGTGCATGTCCTGTGCCAAGAGCCTATAGTTCACGCTCCGCCCGCCGCGGTGCTCGCGCCGCCAAGCTGCTCCACATTCTTGCAATCTTCGGCAGCATGGCGACCGTGACCAGCACCACCACGTGCGACGACTCGGCCGGCCACTCGGCAGCAACGTATGGGCGCCCTGAAGGGCTGTCCACTGGCGCAGTTGCAAC